ACCTGTAGTAGTCAGGACAGTGTTACTGGCCCAAGGATAGGTATATAGATGGAATATAATTGAAAGCTCAGGAATAAACCATATGTGTGTGTGTGTGTACACACACATATATATATAATTAATTGATTTCAACAAGAGTGCCAAGATAATTAAATGGTGCTGGGACAGCTGAATGATCATGTACAAAATAATGGCATTTGGATCCAAACTGCACAGCGTATAGAAGAAATAATTGAAAATGAATCATTGACCTAAATGTAAGAACTAAAACTATACAACTTTTAGAAGAAAAGTAAGGGAAATCATTATGCATTTGGATTAAGCAATGGTTTTTTAGATATGACAGAAGCCAAGTAATTATCAAAAGAAACAATGGATGAATTGTGCTTCATCAAAGTTAAAAAATTTTGTGCTTCAAAGGATATCATCACGAAAAAGACAATCAGGGATTTCCCTTGATGGTTCAGTGACTAAGACTTTGCAGTCCCAATGCAGGGGGCCCAGTTTCAACCCCTGATCAGGGAACTAGATCCCACATGCCGCAACTAAAGATTCTCCACACCACAACTAAAGATCCTGCATGTTAAAACAAGGATCGAAGATCCCACTGGATCCTTTGTGCCACAACTAAGACCTGGTGCAGCATAAATAAATATTTCTTAAAAGAGGAAGAAAAAGACAATTCACCGGAAAAAATATTTGCAAAGCAAATATCTGATAAAAGACTTGTTTCTGAAATGTAGCAAAACTCTTCAATTCACCAATAAGAAGACATTTAACCTCATTTAAAAATGAGCGAGGGATTGACATTGGAGAAGGAAATGGCAACCTACTCCAGTATTCTTGCATGGAAAATTCCATGGACAGAGGAGTCCAGTGGCTACAGTCCATGGGGTCTCAAAGAGTTGGACATGACTGAGCAACTAACCCTGCCCCCTGCAAAGGATTTGCATAAACATTTCTCCAAAGAAGATATACAAATAATCAAAAAGCATGTGGAAGAGATGCTTAACATCATTTGTCTTTAGGGAAATCAAAAATATACATACGCTAGGATGACTAGAATCAAAAAGACAGTAAATGTTGGTGAAGATTTGGAGAAACTGGAACCCTCATACATTGCTGGTGGGATTGTGAAATGGAGCACCTGCTTTGGAAAACAGTCTGGTTGTGTCTCAAAATGTTAAACACAAAAGTGCCATTTTCCACTCCTAGGTATATCTCAGGAGAATTGAAAACTTATGTTCATGCAAAATCTTGTACATGAGTGTTTGTAGCCATAATAACCCCAAAGTGAAAACAACTCAAATGTTGATTAGCTGATGATTGAATCAATAAAATATGTTGTATTCATACAATGGAGTATTATTCAGCCATAAAAAAAAGAACATGACGTTCTGACACATGCCACAACCTGGATGAACCTGGGAAAGATTTTGCTAAGTGAGTGAAACCAGATACAAAGACCACATACTTTGTGATTCCATTTATATGAAATGTCCAGAGTAAGCAAGCAACTGAAAACTGATTTAGTGCTTAATTACCATGGCCTTGGGGGAGGAGAGAGTCAAGAGTGGCAGCTAACATGACTGGGGTTTTTTTGGCGGGTGAAAATCTTGAAAATCTTCTGGAATTAGAAAGTGGTGATAGAGGCATGATTCTGTGACTGTGTTAAAAACCTCTGGATTATAAACTTTAGAAGATTGAACTTCATGGTATATGAATTATATTTCAATAAAGCTCTGTCATTACATAGTAAGTGACTGCTTTTAAAAGAAAATCTATTTTCTTCGTGCTGTGGATGACAAATTCAAAAATATTATAGAAAGAATAAATGCATAACAATTTGAGAAATTTTTGAGGAAAGGGAGAAGAGAAATTATTCTACATGTAGTAATACTTGTGATTGGTGTTGTTTAGTCACTAAATCACTTCTGACTCTTGTGACCCCACGGACTGTAACCCCTGGCTCTGTCCATGGGATTTCCCAGACATGAATACTGGGAATTTCCTTCTCCAGGGGATCTTTCTGACCCAAGGATCAAACTCAGGTCTCCTGCATTGGCAGGCAGATTGGCAGGACTCTTTACCACTGAGCCACCAGGAAGAGTGTGCAACCATCACAGGGACAGGAACCCCCCCCCCCAAAAAAAAAGACTAAGACTTTAAGAGCATGTATTAGAAAAGTCATACAGAGTAAAAACAGTTATTCCTCAGTGGGAAAAGTATAGATTATTTATGAAACAATGGTGTTCAACACCTCCCTAACTTTATCAGTTAGCATTTGGGGTTGGAAAATAGCAGAAAATAATTGTGGCAAGTTGAAGCAGAGACAGATTTACAGAAACGGTACTGGGCAACTCAGAGTCATTGGGGAACCAAGCTCAGAAGATGACAGCAAGCAAAAGATGCTAAGAAACTAGAAAGAGAGCCTTGCTCAAGCCACTGGCCTGGGATGGTCAGGATGATGATGGGCTGCTCCAGCTTCTGCTAGATCCCACCGCGGCCACCACGACCAAATTCTAATGGTCCCTGCATGTTTCACTCACCCCCTCAAGATTCAGAAACCCAGGCAAGAGCATCCAAAGACAGAGCCTAAGTCACAAGCTGGGTGTGGGGAAAGAACTGTCCGCCCACCTTTGGTGCTGTGGTGGGAGGCAGGGCCCTGTTGCATCAAGTCAGATGGGAAGGCGTCCAATTGCTGGGGAGCCAAAAATGCCATTTTCACTAACATTTGGAATAACTAAAATTAGAACCATCCTTTACATCATAGACCGAAATAAATTCCACATGGATTCAGAATGTAAATGTAAAAGTTGAGACCATAAAAGTACTTAAAGAAAATACACATGCATATTTATGTAATCTTGGCTTGGGAAAGTTGCTAAGCATGATATAAAAATCAGAAGGCCATTAAAAATGTCAGTAGAGAATATTTAATGATCTGGAAAAGGAATCACGGTCTGTTAAATTAAAAAAAAAAAAGAATGATTTGTGCCAGAGTATTAACAGTGGTTTTCTCTGAATGATGAAGGTGATTTTTCATTCCTTGCTTCACATTCTATATGCAAGTTGTTTTTTTTTTTCCTCAAAAGCTGCTATTACTTTTCGAATTTGGAAAATGAGTGATTTGCTTGGTAGGTTTGTAAGAATGCATAGATACTGGTGTCTCCATAAGTAAACTTTATGCTGAACACTACAGAAGTGAAAATAACTCTTTAAATGGCAGGTAATGAGACACTTGGGTTTAGACATTGCCTTTTCTATAAAAATCAGGTTGAGTGGCTATTGGTATTGGCTCCATCTGGTGGCATGTCAAAAGGAAGACCCGGATAATGGATGGCAGCTGTAAGAACACCCCCCAGGGTCATGATGCTTATTTCTTCCAGTGTATTTTGTTTGGGTTTGTTTTATGTTGTCTTGTTTTTAAGAGAACCCATCTGCTTGACTACAAAATCCCAGTTTTGTACTCAGGGTATTGGCGTCTAAAGGAGGCATCACAGATGTAAAGATTCTGGAGGTGATAACTTATTGTGATCTCTATTTTATCACCTTATAGTCTTACCTACACATAATGAGTTGCCTCACCGTTTTGTCTTTAGCAGCCCCTAGATCCTTGATAGGGCTTCCCTGGTGGCTCAGATGATAAAGAATCTGCCTGTGATGCAGGAGACCTGGGTTTGATCCCTGGGTCCGGAAGGTCCCCTGGAGAAGGGAATGGCAACCCGCTTCAGTGTCTAGCCTGGAAAATCCCATGGACAGAGGAGCTTGGTGGGCTAGTCCATGGGACCGCAAAGAGCTGGACACGACTGATTGACTAACATTTTCTGCTTCCCTCTTTTCTTGGATTCCTATCTCAGTAAAGGATGCTCAGCCTCTGTTTGACATAAGAGACCAAGTGGTCTCTTCCTATGTAAGGGAGAGTTTCTCAAACAGAATAAAGGACTTCTTATAAAACCTTGATACCAGTGGATGGAGGGGAGCCCTTTATGTTCAAAAAGGCATATTACTGTCATGTTAAAAACAGACTGAGGATCTGGAGAAGTGCAGAAGCAAAGAGCACTCATAAATGGCTATTTGTTCCCATTCTCACCGCTCAATTGCTTTTCCTACTTGTAAAAGAAAAATAACCTTTCTGACTTGGAATTTCTTTTACTCAATGCTTTTAGCCTTTACTAAGACGATACGAATCAATATTTGTGATCTTTCTGCAGTTTTCTAGTTGAAATTGTCATGATCTATGAGTTCTTCATAAAAATGTACATATAGATGTATATGAAAGACTTACTAATGAACCCTTTTTTCTATGACTGTTTCCTCAGGGGACTCATCAGACATGTCTTATTATTTTCATTTCTCAGTCATAAACAGTATGATTCTGAACTTATGTAAGTTTCAGAGTCTCCATGTCTCCATCCTTCATGTTAATATAGGAACCCCATTGCTCTGGACTGGAATTAAATCGGTACACAACTGTTTTTGGTATTAGATGGCTTAGTTAAACAGTTTAACTTGAGCCATTTTGCAGAATGGATGTAAAACAGCTTGGGCGTCATATACATATTCTTTTTCCAGTCTCCATATTTCCTGTAGTTTGCTCATGTAGACATTTTCGGCTGTTTTTCTCTTATATATGTTAATGATTTGGAGCTGGTAGCAGCTCGATGGAAGGAAAAAATATGCTCCTTTTTTTCTGAGAGAAGCTAAGAAGTGTTGTTCTTACCCTGATTTCCTTACGTGTTAAAGAATGAAGTTCTGTTCATTGTTGATGGAATCCGGTGGTGCCGTCGTGAAGAGCGTCTGTACCAGTGGTTAGGGGTGAGGACGTGGAGGAGCTGCATCTAGACACATCCCTGCCCTCCGGCACCCAGCCCCGCTGGACCAGGAGGTGTGGATGCAGTCAGGAGGGCTGAGGACGTGGGGCTCCCTCCTGCCCCGCGCCCCTCAGTCATACGTGGCGCCTTCAGACTCACACCTGTCCTATCCTTGTCTCTTTTCAGGAGCGGCCTACTGCCAGTTCATGGACATGCTCTTCCCAGGCTGCATTAGTTTGAAGAAAGTAAAATTTCAAGCGAAGTTGGAGCATGAGTACATTCACAATTTCAAGCTTCTGCAAGCATCATTCAAGCGAATGAATGTTGATAAGGTAGGAGACAGATTTGTACCTCCGTAAAATGCATTGTCTTTGCTTAAACTTCTTTTTGTGCAAAAATCCAAAAACATTTCAAGGGGCTATATCTTGATATCAGTAGGCTGAGTTTTGTATGTACAGCATAAAGCACAACCCTCACTTCTCATACCTGGTTGAGGTTTTTAATCTAAGGAGATTTCTAAACTTGTAGCCATTCAACTAAAAACTCTTAACAGAAATTATGAATGCTAACATGTTATTCTGTATTAGCAATGCAGGTGAGAAATTTTCATGTTTGCCAGATGCCACTGTGGCTCTTCATATGTTTTCTTTCTTTTAAGAAATCACGAAATCCCGTAGAAATGGCATGGCTTTGAATCTTAGCACCATGACTTGAGCAAGTTATTTAAATTCTTTGAGTATACCCATCTGTAAAGTGGGATCAGAACCCTGGTCCCTGTGGTTATGAAGTTAAAGTGAGGGACTACCTGTCCCAAGTGTCCTGTGTATGTACTCAGATTCTCACTCATTGTCCATAAAATGTTCTTTTACCCGCTTTGAACTTTAAAATTTTGTCCTGGCGTGATACAAGTGAAGTTTGGCTAGAGTCCTTTTTCCTCTCATAAGGACTATTGCTGAGGCCCATTCAGTTCATATACATATTCAATTCGTAGTCTTTATTTAGGATATAGCTCTTGCAGGGAATAAGTTGGAAAAAAATGAATTTTAAATAAGGAAAAAGAGAAAAGCAAGGAAGAAATGGAAGACTTTTGTTTGCATAGTAATAAATAGGCTATGAAAATAAAAAGTTAAATATTGGGGTATAAGAGAGGTTAAAAGAAAACAGAAAAGTTTTCTGAACTGTATATATTTTTAATTTAATGCAGTTAGTGTCTTCAAAGCATATAATCAAAGCATTCTTATCAAAATATTAAGAAAATTTTGGCTTCTCATTATTTTTATTGCAAAACATACATTCTCTTACACATTTCAACCTTTTGAATCATTTTCAAGTTTATTACCTTTGCTGTGGTTAATTTGCAACTTGGCTCCTTGTGTATTTATTCAAAACTCGAGCTTAAAGTGCACCTAGAACTATCACAACCTTGTTAATCGACTATAATTCAATATAAAATAGCAAGTTAAAAAAACAGAATTGTGCAGGGTCTCCTTCCTCATTAGCATCGTTTCTCTGTACATTTCTGTGTACGTGTTTCTAGATCGAAAAGAAGAGAGACACCTATTCATGGGTTTATTGATGGAACTTGCCATGTAACAAAATTGGGGCTTCATATACATAGAAGTGTTCACACGGAGAGCGGGTTAGCCATTGGTAAGAATGTTGAAGATTAAAAGGAAAAGAATGTTGATGATAAAATTCTGGTACTGTCACTGAAGGGACAGTGACCTTGATGACCTTCGTTGGCCTCTCCAGCTTAATATGCTGCGATTCTACCCAAAGGTCCTGGTGTAGAGACAGTGTCCCTGTCCGTGTTGGCCCTAGCCTGTGACAGCACAGGCGAAGTACCTGTACACATATTTGCTTGTCACCTCTGATGTTGGACTTATGACCTCGGGACTTTAATTTTTATTGGAAATGCAAAATTAAGTCAACAGAACTAAGTGCCTGCTTTGACTGGCTAATGCAGCAGCAGCATCTAAAACTGTTGATACGTGTTCATGTTTGACAGAAAGCAAAATACAGTAGCATGTTAATGAAAGGCCCTTATGCTCCAAGAAGGCTCTTAAAATAATCACAGTATTAGCATAAACACAAGTTACAAAATATTTATAAATAGTACAATGTTTATTTTTAATAGTACAATATTTTTAATAGAAAATATTTATAAATAGTACAATGAAAAGTCCTCTGAAGGTAATACTGATTGGCTTTTTGGGTTACCAACAGGAAAGTACTCCTGAAAAGCTAGCTTCGTCTCAGAAATTGACATAAATGCTGAGTGTGTTCTCCTCCTGAAGGCCTTCTGTGACTCCCCTCACCTGAATCTGTTTCTTCTTTCCTCCGCACCCCCACCCACCCATGGCACATTAACTGTGCTCCTGTAGCCCATGAATTACTGTGCCCTATATTGTGGTTAGTTGCTTTTATTTTATGCTTGTGTCTCTACATTGTGAATAAGTTCCATGAAAGCTCATTTTGTTTCAGAAGAACCATTAGATTAGTATGTGTTTTCATTGACTTGAGTTCCTATTCATTGGTACTCTCTAGTAGTTACAGTCAGTTTAAAAGCTTATTCCAACACAACTGGACCAAGTAGTACAAAGAAATAAGGAAAACCCATCGAGCTATGTGTGTTGGAACAGCACAACATCCCAGACACAGATGTTTTTAGGGGGAGATGCTCTGGCAATAAACATTCTATGAAGAGGCTCCACCCTTCTTGACAGCTCAGGGTATTCCTTGTTTTGGAAGGTTTGTTCAGATGTGTTAAATATTCCAGGAGAATTGGCTGCAACCTTTTAATTTTCCTTATGGTTTGTTCAGATGTATTAAACATCCCAGGAGAATCAGCTACACCATTTTAATTTTTCTTTAATATAATGAAGAATTATATAAATTTTGGGATACCACTGGCTAAGATATTAGGGGAGAGGTCAATAGACGTGAATTGCAGACACAGAGGGAAATAGTTCTGTTTCAGGAGCTCTTCAGTTGTGTTAAATACAAACCAGCCTGGGGATTGTGACTCACCCAGTGCTTTTATATTGCAGGTAATTCCCGTGGAGAAGCTAGTGAAAGGGCGTTTCCAGGACAACCTGGATTTTATCCAGTGGTTTAAGAAGTTCTACGATGCTAACTACGATGGGAAGGAGTATGACCCAGTAGAGGCACGACAAGGGCAAGACGCAATTCCTCCTCCCGACCCCGGCGAACAGATCTTCAACCTGCCCAAGAAGTCCCACCATGCCAACTCCCCCACAGCAGGTACTGGAACAGTGTCGTTCTGGAGTCACTTTTGTGTTGGAAAATGCCTCAGGCCCTCCTGTGTTTTCCTGGTTCTTCCCAGCAGTCAGTATTTTATTTGCACACCTCTGGATGATTTTTATTGGTGTCTGTTTGACCACATTTATCTTCCTAGTAATAAGTCTAACAGTCAGGATTTAAAGTATTAAAAAGGCAGAGCTATTCACTTGATGTCACTGAAGCTATACAACTTCAGATATAGGTTGCATTTTCCTTCTTTTTTTTTTTTTGAGAAATTTCAAGTAATCTGATTAGATTTCGACATATTTTTATTGTTTAATTGCTGCCAATAGAGTCTCGAATATGAACTTGCTAACACTTTTAAATGTGGATCGTCATCTATATTCCTTCAGAGGAAATTCATGAAAAATCCATCCTGTCTCCTGTGTGGACAGTGCCAGTATTTATGGGACCATGCTCAGCAAGACCTAACTTAGCCAACTTTGTCCAAAAGTGAAGTCACTAATACCTGGAACTTTAAAAAATGTTTTAACTCTTCTAGAGAAAAATCTTTCTAAAATATGTTACAAACATGCCAGCCTTAAAAAAGCAAACTTTACCAAGCAGAATGTGTTCCTGTTAAATGAGGGTCATTATTATAAACACCAGCTGTGGTACTGGACAGTTATACAATGAAATCCTCAGAAACCATGTGCTTCCATTTGAAAACCAGCATTTACACTTGTTAATTCAGTAACCTTCATTTTGTCAGAACACAAATTCCTTATTTATGCCCAATCTCTAATCAGAATGATTAAAAACGGTTATAAAAAGACTTCCCAGATGGCTGAGTGGTAAAGAATCCACATGCCAATTCAGGAGATAGAGGAGACACAGGTTCAATCCCTGGGTCGGGAAGATCTCCTAGAGAAGAAAATGGCAACCCACTCCAATATTCTTGCCTGGAAAATCACATGGACAGAGGAACCTGGCGGGCCATGGAGTCACAAAGAGGTGGATACAACTTAGCGACTGAGCATGCACGCATGCAGTAGTAAACAACGCATACAGGTATCTGGAACTCAAGGAAGTGTCAGCTAGAGATAAACATTGGTGAGTCTCCCACATCCAGGTAATTGAGGCTGGGAGTTATTCCCGAGTGAGAAAGGGGGAGTCCCCGAGGAACTTGAACATCTAATGTTTGGGTAGAAAAGGAGGGACTCACCTGGGAGCAGGGAAGATGCCAGAAAGATGCAAAGAAATGAGGGAATAACGTGTCAGGGGAGCAGAACAGTTAGCAGTGTCTAAACCTGTCGAGTCAAGTACACTGATGACTGGGAGAGTCCGTTGGAGGTTTCAGCTTGGGGGTCTCTTTGTGGAGTGGTGGGTCCAGGAATGGGTTAAAGGAATTGGAGGAAGGAAATTGAGACAGCATAAAAATCCCAACTTTGAAGCCATAGAATTAAATAAGCTTAAAAAAAAAAAAGACTTCCTTGGTGGTCCAGTGGTTAAGAATCCACCTGCCAGGGCAGGAGACATGGATTCGATCCCTAGTCCGGGAAGATGCCACATGCCTCCAAGCACCTAAGCCTGTGCACCACAGCTGCAGAACCCGTGGGCCAAGGCCTGTGCTCTGCAACAAGAGAAACATGGAAGTGAAGTCGCTCAGTCGTGTCCGACTCTTTCCGACCCCGTGGACTGTAGCCTACCACGCTCCTCCATCCATGGGATTTTCCAGGCAAGACTACTGAGTGGGCAGTGGCAATGGGTGGGTTGTCACCCAACCCAACCGAGTGGGTTGCCATTGCCTTCTCCAGAGGATCTTCCTGACCCAGAGATCAAACCTGGGTCTCCCTCATCGTAGGCAATCGCTTTACTGTCTGAGCCCGCAATGGGAAACCTGAGCACCACAATGAAGCCCTTGCTCACCGCACCAACGAAGACCCAACGCAGCCGTAAATAAATAAACGAATCGCAGATCTTTGGGAACACATACACTTATGGGCAAGAAGAAAACCAGAGGAAACTGAGAAAAGGGGAATCTCAGGGGGAAAAACAGCTCAATATCAAAGTAGGACATTTCTAGCAAGAGGGACCACCAACAGCGCTGAGTGTTAATTGCAGAGAGCTCAAATAGGATGAAGCCTGAGAATAGGCTGAGGAAATCTGGCTCCTGGGAGGTGATTAATCGTCCTTGAGCAAAATTGGTCTGTTGAAATGCTGAGTCCATCCACCTCGATGGCAGCTGCTTACCAAGGGTGTTATACACAGCTGTGAAAGTGATGTGGGGAGAGGAGATTCTGCCTTCACCAAAAGGTCAGGAAAAAGGTGGAGGAAAATAAAAACATTGTGATGATATGTTCCCCCATTTTGATGGGGAAGAGCTGACAGATGCTTTAAAAGTTAGACTGAGGGGGAGAATGATATTGTCCTGGATTTGATTTTGCTTGCTTTTCGGGCAAGGCACAAAGGAGCCGATTTGTAAGATGGAAGAAAGATTCTGTGAGAAGGAATAGTAGGACACAAGACGGGAAATGGGTGGAGCGTGACTCTAAGGCTGGAGGGAAAAAAAGGGGGTCAGGGCCATCGAAAGAGGTTTGGAGAGGAAAGGGAATGTGTTTACCTTTTGGGGGAACAGAAGTGCTAGAAGAGGTTGGGTAAAAATGAAGCCACAGGGAAACTGGGGAACCAAAATGTACGGCGGTTTAAATTCGCCTTCAGCTTTGATCAGAGGGTGTCATTCTTCTCGGACCAGAATTGAGAAGGGGAGTGGTATGTCTCCTGCGGAGCCGGGGAGACACAGGCAGATGGAGTTGGGGGGACAAGAAGGTGTGAAAACCAAGAGCTGCTGGTAGCTCTGACCTCTGGCCCTTTTTCTGCAACTGCTAATGACGTACCAATTCATCTTGAATCGCAGCTGCTACTTTTTCAAAGTTTTCAGCAGTAGACCTGGACAGGCCTCAACAATCATAACGTGTCCTTAAACTGGCACCAACCCCCTACCCTCCCTCCCCCCCACATAAGAACTGTCCTTGTTCTGCCTTGGCCTTGCTTTCCAGGAACTCCTTCATCTGTTTTTCACAAAAGCGACAGAGAACCTTGTGCCATTTCGATAGAATGTCCATGAACCTGGAAGAGAAATAATATTGTTTCCAGAGCTTAACTTCTTGGGTGACAAAGCTCAGGAAACAGATGATAAATTTGGTTTCTCATATTTGGGAAGGCAGTATTCCTCAGGCTTGTGTTCCTGATGCTTTGACCGCATTCACCTCTCTGGTCCTAATCAAGGAGAAAGGATATTTCCAGGAGTCAGACCAGCCGTCCCCTTTTTTATGAACTGTGTCCTGACTCTTGGACACGGTGGGGTAGTAAAACTACACTGAAAAAATGATAGCCCAGGTATACGTCACATGTATACATCACCATGACAGGTAGAACGTTGTTTTAAAAGCTATCATAGGAGAAAGATGCCTATAAATACAGTGAGAGTGTGTTTTTCCCCCCTAGGGGTCATGTATCCAACTCTTGGGAAAGCAGCCAAGAAAATGTAAGCCAGAATATTCTAAAAGTCAGAATACCTTTAGAATCTGTGCTATCAAATTCATATACTTTAGAAAGGGAGAGTTCCTAGAATACTTATCCAGAGCCTATTTGCTCTTTCTTTTACGTTTATTTATTTGATTTTTTTTTAACTGACATACAGCACTATATTAGTTTCAGGTGTGTAATATAGAGACTTGTCATTTGTATACACTGCAAAGTGATGACCACAGGGATTCTAATTACCATCTGAACCATACAAAGTTAATACAATATTCATGACTATATTCCCTGTGCTGTGTTTTATAACCTCATGCCTTATTTACTTTATAACTGGAAATTTGTATTTCTTGATCCACTTTATTTGCTCTTTCTTAATTTGGATAGAATTATAACAAACATGGGGGTATGATTTCTCAGCATGTACCTTATTCAGTTCAGTTCAGTTCAGTCGCTCAATCATGTCTGACTCTTTGGGACCCCATGAACTGCAGCACACCAGGCCTCCCCGTCCATCACCAACTCCCGGAGTTCACTCAGACTCATGCCCATCGAGTCGGTGATGCCATCCAGCCATCTCATCCTCTGTCATCCCCTTTCTCCTCCTGCCCCCAATTCCTCCCAGCATCAGGGTCTTTTCCAATGAGTCAACTCCTCGCATAAGGTAGCCAAAGTATTGGAGTTTCAGCTTCAGTATCAGTTCTTCCAATGAACACCCAGGATTGATCTCCTTTAGGATGGACTGGTTGGATCTCCTTGCAGCCCAAGGGACTCTCAAGAGTCTTCTCCAACACCACAGTTCAAAAGCATCAATTTTTCGGTGCTCAGCTTTCCTCACTGTACCTTAATAGGGCAAGGGGTACAGTAATAGCAATAGAAAGTATGAGTATCGGTAAAAGAAGAGACAAAAAAAAACTTAACAAAATGTCATCAGTGGTCCGGCAGCCTGAGATATTTATTGCTGAATCACAGAGTGCCATGTGTCTTAGTCGTCCTCAGGATCCACACGATACCAGCATGTACTGGTTGATAACACTCAGAGTTCCCTTCTAATTCTTAAGATTTTAATTTTCTCTTGATAATCATCTCTTCCATAAACTGTTTACAGTCTCTAAACTGGCCTTTCTCCCTCTTGTCTAAAACCATTCAAAGCCATCCTCGTACGTAAGTCTGTTTTTGTCCATCCAAAATGTAAGACAAGGAGTTCCCTGGTGGCCTTGTGATTGGGATTCTGGGCTTTCACTACCATGGCCCATGTTCAGTCCCTGGTCAGGGAGCTGAGATCCCACACGCTGTGCTGCGTGACCAAAAAGAAAAAAAAAAATTAAGACAAATTAAACTGCTTGATGAGGTGAGGGCCCCCAGCTGTCTGGGAAGTTCACCTACCTACATGAGCTATTTCACAGTGATGCCAGGTTAGTAACACTCGGAAGTAATTTGTTTCCACCTCTAAGCCTCAGTCATTTCTTAATTATCTGCAT